CTCATTGTATAGGATACCCCCACTCGCATGTCTCCACACGAACGACCTGGATCGAGTCGTTTGTAACATTTACAAAGTGGGTCGTATCCATAGTGTTGCCAGGATAAGGTACCCAACCTTATTCATATACTATAGACCCTTTAGGTTATTCACGGGACATTATCTACTCGTATATCAGGGGTATATCAAATACATACCTAGTATATCAAATATATACCCAGTATATATATTGTCCCGGTTACATGATAATAACATTGGATGTTTAGTTTATTGGATTTTGGACAATGCAATGCTATGAATTCAACAACAAATTTATTGAATAAAACTATATTGAATATACATTTGGTTTTTACATAATTACAAACTACAAGTTTAGGGCAACACACCCAACATATCCAACAATCTCTCAAATTTCGATTCTTCAAGTTCCTTCCATGTCTCTCAGAATCTCTAATTTTTACTCTAAAATATCTTTTGGTCTAAAATCCCCCTCTTTTCTCCCCTAGGTATATCAGTTATATAGTAGAAATTAAGTTTTTTTTTAATCAAAAGGAAAATAAATATTCAATAGAAAGAAAATCTAGCGACGATAGATCTTGAATCCACACAGGATTAAGGTGAAACCAACAAGAAGACACCCTCCCTTCACACGATCGTTTGGCTAAATCGTGAGCAGCACCATTCACACTTCTCGAGATGGGACAAAACACCTCAACCTTGGTCATTTCCACTTCTCGTCTTATGTCGTTAGCGATCAACTTTGTCTCTATAAGGTCAGAAATTTCTTCGTTGATGATGTTGACTGTCGCAACGTCATCGCGACGCAGAGCGACCGGCGTCATCCCCTGAAGGGTCTCTTTCGAGATAAGGGTTTGGAGTCGCCACCAATCATATACGATGTGTGATTAGTCACCTATTTTAAAAACTTGGTCTACGAAAAACAGACTTTGGTTCGGGAGTTGACTGAGCGTAGGGAAAGTGTTAGCACCCTACGACACTCGTTCGAAAACGGTACCTCATTTTATCTTAAATCATCCTATTATTTTATTTGGTCTAAGAAAAAAATATTTTTGTTTCGATTGAAATGTCTCATGTTATATTAATTCACATTTTGTTATAAGATATGAAATAATAGGTATGAGTGACACAAACACCATTAGAAAAATTAAGCACCTCGAGAATATTGGAGGGTTCCAATTCCCGTCATCAGAGTTTTAGAAATAATTATTTAGTAAAAAAAAAATTATTTTAAGGCACATTGAGACTTCAACATGTGACTAGAGCGTTAACACTCAAACATCTTACCAATGTGTCAACACATTGAAATATAAGTTATGTTCTCTTTTAAAATATAAACTTTGTATTTTTGAATTTTGTTTTAAAAAAAACTCTAAACGAAATCTTTTATTAAAATAATTGTTTAGTAAAAACAATGATAAAATGAGGCATTTGCATTGTAAACCAAACATCTAACCATAATGCCAATATTTTAGATGTAAACTAAGTAATCTTTTACAAAAACAAAATTTTTAATTAATTTTTTTAAACTAAAAAAAACCAACGAATTTTGTTAAATTAAAACAAAAAAATAAATTTTTATATATTTTGAAATTATAAAGATTTTTTTAAGAAAATCTTTTATTTCTAATTAAAAAAATCATTTAATCATACTCATCAAAGCTGTTCAAAAAAAAAAAGATTTCATTCCTCTTTTATAACAACTTAAACAACTTATTGTAAATTCGAAATGTTAACGAGATAAATTTTATTTTAAAACGAACTCTCTAAAAAAATAATTTTCTTTAAATCCTCTATTTTTTAAATCGCCGTAGTAGAAAATCTCTTTTTGAAAATAAATAAAAAAAATAAGAAAACAAAACTCATCCGAAGACATTTAACAAAAGAAGAATAAATCTTATTAAAAGCTTTCTTAAAAAAAAACCTGAAGGGAAATTTTAAAGAATCCAATTTATTTTTGAAACAAGATTTAGTATATAAAAACTCTTATTATTTTTTCCTAACTCATAACACTTTAATATTTAAAAATTATTTTATTTTAGTTTTAAAAAAAATTATTTACATTATTTTCAAAACTTATTCTAAAAAGTTTATTTTCTTTATGAGGAAAATTTTGGTTTCTTTGTTAAAAAGAAACTCTTTTTTTTTTATTATTGAAAGAAGTGTAGTGATATACTGTGCAGAGATTTTTACCACCAAGCTTTTGTCCAAAACTGATGTTGTTCGTCGCCTGAGCTCGTGGGTGTTAGAGTGGGTCGTTGGACTCTTCGTTGTCGTCGGTATATCACCGAAGGATGGTCTCAAGGCAGCAATGGTTCTATTGCACCGCCTTTAGAGACTAAGGGAAAGAAAAAAATAATAAAAATTTCTTCACCCAAATCATTCTTTTGTTATGTGTGCTCTCTGTTTTCTCCCCCATCCCTTTGTGCAGAGCCTCACCTTAAATACCATAGAAGGCAACCGTAACGTGGAGTGAGTAAAATAAAATTAGAGAAAAAACAGGGAAATGAGATCAATAGATAAAAATGACACGTTATTAGGGTTTGATGAGGAAAAAAATCAAAACCGTTAAAATCAATAAGTTTGTTTGAAATAAATCTTTACTATTTTTAATTCTTAATTTTATCAATAAAACAAAATTCTTTAAACAAATCTAATTTTAAATTTAATTAAACTTTATATCAAAACTAATAATAAAGTAAACTTATGTTATTTTTTTTAATTAAAATAAAACTTAATAAAGTAAAATACAATAATATAAATTAAAATAAAAAAAGCCGGACCAAATACGGTATCTACATTGATGATTTCCATACAATCAGATTCCATGATGACTTGAACTCCAAGGTAGGTGTTCATGATTATATAAATGATAGTCCGTATATTGTACCAAAATAAGAATATTTCAGCTCACATTCAAGTACAAGACTCTAAATATATAGAGAAAGACTCAATACTTGGAGCAATACAATAGGTAAAGAAAGTAACCAACTATTACATAAAGAAAATAGAAAACTAGACCAAGAGAATAACAAGATAAATAACATTTTATCATGCTTAAGCACTCTAAGACCTTCAAGAATTGCCCGACCTTCTAAGGTTTTTATGGGCCATTTTCTTCTCAGGTGATGACAGTCGGTTGTGACTAGGTGTACTTGGGGAATAGGTACACTGTCTCCATATCGATACATACGCAAGAGGTCATTGATTGGAGACCTTAAGGATATTCCTTGAAGCTCCGAGCCACCCAAGTTATCCCTCAGACACAATACTTGAAATTTATTATTAATTTCTTCATATAATTTTGAGGTGAAAGTAATGTTTGTTAAAATTGCAAATTAAGTATTTGATGTACAAGAAAATTTTGGTAAATTTTATAAAATTATGCAGCAATTTGTTTCATTGTTTTTTAAAAGGTTGTATTACAATGTATACTTATATTAAAGTACTCTCCTTCTAGAGTTTCTTATATCAATTCAAAATATTGATGTTTTTCAAAATGAGCAGTGTCTTCCCGATCCAAGTATCACTTACTTTAAAATTCAATTTTAAGTAAATTTATGTTTTACTAAAATCAATTTTTTAATTTGCATCCATATGGAAATGAAAGTGATTTTGGTAATTGTCATGTCAAAATCACGCTCAAATTACTTTTTAAAATCAGAAATTTCAACTCAGAGATGGAAAGTCTAATAACCATCAGGAACACTTTAATAGCGAACTATTTTCGACACTTTTTAAAAAACGTCGATAATGGACTACTTCTCTTGATGACATTTTCTAACAAAAGCGATGGAGAACTTTAAAACTTCCAGTTCGATACTAAAGTGCTACCGACACATTTTAAGAAACATCGGGAATGGACTACTTCTCCCGATATTTTGTAAAATATGTCGATAGAACATTAATAGTTTCTGTTCGATACGAACTTCTTCAAATGCTTTATAAAAAACGTTGGGAATGGACTATTTCTCAGAATAATAGCTTTGCCCGACTCTTTTCTTACGTTGGGCAAGAAAACATCGGAAAAACAAAAAATTATTGTAGTGAATTTTTTCCAGTCTCTCCATTGCACACCTTTTAATCTGTCCTTATTACAGTATCACGGATCACTATCTCTAATTTGCTTTTCCAATGGACAATTTTGACAATAACTACTTTTTCTTTTAGCTTCCTTTAATTTTAGTGCACCTTTACAACCACCATTTTATTTATTTATCTATTTATTAATTTTTTTTATTTTTTTGAGGAAAGCACCATTTCTGTTAGAAACAATTTACACTTTCATACTTTCTATTTAAAAAAAATATATAGCAGATAAATAGGGATGGCAACGTTGGGATGCCCCCCTCCCCATCCCGGGTCCGGCCTGTAGTTTTTAGAACTATTTTGCCAGTTTCCAACTAGAGTGACGATTTAGTCTATGAACTTTGTTTTATAGTGATTTAGGTCCTGTAGTTTAAAAATTGTAACAATTTAGTCTCTATTGTGAAAAATTTATAAAATTAAGTGTCAAGTTTTGTCATATAAAAATAATTTAATCCTTCAAATTTATAAGCATATTTGGTCCCTCATTCCTTTATGAATATATATATAAGAATTAAAAAAGAAAAATAAATTCACGATTGACTAAATTTTTACAAATTTTAAATTACAATGATTAAGTTGTTATATGTTAAAGTTTGGGTACTAAATTGTTACCAATTTAAAAGAAGAAAAATTAAATTGTTACAAACTAAAGTTCATGAATTAAATCGTTACTTTAACAAAAGTACGGGACCAAAAGTATTTTTTAACCTAAAAAAAATACTTACAAATACTGATCTTGACCATCACTAAGATACATAATTGAATACATAATAAATATTTACGACAAAATATATCACATATAGCGACTATCATTAAGATACATAATTGAATACCTAATAAATACTTACGGCAAAAGACATCTCACTCTTTTCTTAGATTTTTTTTTTTCGAGAATCCCAAAAATCGAATAAACATTTACAAATTTATTTCTTTAAATGCCAAATTGGCAAATACACAGACCCAAGTGGTGCCAAGTGTTGAGATATTTATATTTCCATTAAATGCGATAGCAATGTACCAATCAACTACAACCAATACCAAGTTCCATTATATCATCACCTCCATAAGGCCCTGTAGAAGATAACACTGCCCTCTCCTCCGCCATGACCATGAAGAAAAACCACCACTTCCTCCTCCTATCTTTCCCTGTTTTTGGCCATATAAACCCTTCTCTTCAACTCGCCCACCGTCTCATATCCCTCGGCGCCCACGTCACCTTTGCCACCACCGTCGCTGCCGCCCGCCGCCTCGACAAAACCCTCCCCATCTTCACCACCCAAGGCTTCTCGTTCGCCACTTTCTCCGACGGCTTCGATGACGACACCCTCAAGTTGAGCGCCGACTTCACCCACTACTTTTCTGAGCTCACCCGCTGCGGCTCCCACTCTCTCATCAATCTCATCACCTCTTCCGGAGACCGCGGCCGTCCGATCACTTTCCTCATCTACAGCCTCCTCCTCAACTGGGCGGCCGATGTTGCTTCCACATTTGACATTCCCTCCGCTCTCCTTTTCGTTCAGCCCGCCACGCTTCTAGCTTTGTACTATTACTACTTCGTTGATGGTTATGAAGATACCATCTCTACCAAATTACTCCAACAAGACCCGTTCTTTTCTCTACAATTACCAGGTTTGCCATTGCTCGTTGGTCGAGAAATACCCTCTTTCTTGTCTCCTTCCGATCGTAGCGCTTTTCTTCTCCCTCTAATGAGACAGCAGTTTCAATTTCTTGCCCGACCGAGTCGGGCAAGAGTACTGGTGAACACGTTCCAGGCGTTGGAAGGAGAGGCCTTGGGAGCCATTGATGATAAGTTGAAAATGGTGCCAATTGGACCCTTGATTCCATCTGACGAACTTTGTCGTTCTCCAGTCACGTCGGAGGAGGATTATATCCAATGGTTGAACTCCAAGTCGGAGTCGTCGGTGATTTACATATCTTTTGGGTCTATTTGCGTGTTGTCTGATCAACAAGAGGAAGAAATTGTTGGTGCTTTGTTGGAGAGTGGGCACACGTTCTTGTGGGTAATAAGATCTAAGGAGAATGAAGATCAAGAGGATGAGGAGGAGAAGAGGATTAAGAAATTTGGGGGGAAAGGGAAGATTGTGAGGTGGTGCGATCAAGTTCGAGTCTTGAGCCACCCTTCGTTGGGTTGTTTTGTGACGCACTGTGGTTGGAACTCGACTTTAGAAAGCTTGGTTTGTGGGGTGCCGATGGTTGGTTTTCCACAGCAGGTGGATCAGGCCACGAATGCAAAGCTTGTGGAGGATGTGTGGAGGACAGGGGTGAGGGTGAAACCCAATGCAGAAGGAATTGTGGAGAGGGGAGAAATTGGGCGTTGTTTGGATATTGTGACGGGGGATACAGATGTAAAAAAGAGAGAAGAAATAGAGAGAAATGTCAAAAAGTGGAAAAAATTGGCTAGAGAGGCTATTGGGGAAGGTGGGTCTTCATATTTGAATCTTGAGTCTTTTGTTAGGGAGATTGATGAAGATAGCTGTTAATTTTGTGAGGCCTCTTTTTAACTTATATTGGTGAATAAATTCTTTTTAAGTGAAGAGATACATATCATTATCTTTTATCTTTATCTTGTATCCAATTCTTGTAGTGGGGTTGTTTGTATTTTCTTTGTTTAATGTCCACTGAGTAAAATCAAGGTTATAATATATGATATTAGGACTAAGTACATGCAAGTTGGGTGATCCAATATATAATCTTTTTTATCTGTGAGTTGAACACATATCAGTGGGGATTAGAATAGGTTTTTTATTCACTAAGCTATACACTAATTGATAATTTAAAATGCAATCTAAAGGATCTACAATACTGTATTACGGTTCTTTTATATATATATATATATATATATATATATATATATATAATTTAATATTATAAAGGATCTATGTTTTCTCTGTTATAAAATTTAAAACAAATCCTAATTCATTATTATTCTAAAATAAAAGCCATAAAATTTTAGAACAATCAAGACCAATGATCTAAGCATGGAAGAAAACCAAAATCTATAAAGAGATTAGAATTACCTGAAACCATGAAACCATTAGATAGATTGACCACGATTTGCAAGAAGTTGTGGTTTGTGGTCTTCCTCAATTATGCAACCCAGACCAAATATGGGCAATACTCTCTGTTTGATGGGGAACAAGAGGCTCAAGAAGCATAGTGTATTGTAGACCAGAATCATATATTTATAGGTTAATCCTAAGATTAATGGCTACTAAATGGGCAGTTATGAGCCCATAATCAAGATCATTCATATGCCCATTAAATAACCCGAATATAATTATTTTTTATTTGTTACCCACATATGAATTAATTATTAAATTAACTCCAACAATCTCCCACTTGGGTAACAATTTTCTTTACTAGCAATTATTATAATAATTTATTCTTTAGTGCACAACTCAATGCTATTAAAATAAACTTCCCTTTAATAACAATACGGTCCTTCTCGCATATCGATGAGGAACCAAAGCGGCTTTTGTCACATGTATAGTCGTGACTCAACCTTCAATGATCACCAGACCAAATATACTAATGACATGAATCTAGTGTGGAAGAGCAGCATGAGAATTACATGTAATGTGATCTAAACATGTCTATTCCCAACTGGTCCAATTTTATTCTTTAAAGAGATCAAAATTTATGTTTTATAGCTTTATGTTAAACTACATTTAGAAATAAAATCATTCAGAGTAACAAAATAAACCATTTTCCTTATTCTGCAGCAAAGAAAACCACGTGTCTAATATAAGAAAACACAAACTCCCACTCAACTGACATACCATAATTTTCACATCTATATGAGTATTATGCTCGTAAAACTTTTGTGAAAGTCCTTAATGAGCGGATCCGCAATGATGAAGTTGCATTTCTTTAAACAAAAATACTTTGAAATTTTCTTTATCAACTAAAGCTTAAATATTCATACAAAAGCTTTTGTTGCTGTGATATGGAAAAATACATATCTTTGTCAAAACAACCTAATGACAAAATTTGCAACCATATTCTTAAGTTTATTGCCACATACAAAATGCTATAAACACAAACTTTACTGGTGAAAGGAACTAAAGTGACTCTTTACCATGAGATAGTAGTTACCTTTAAACTCTTAGTGAATATAGCATCAACGGTGGATTTAGATGACAATTCAAATTATCAAAATCAAATAGCATTATGATCTCTAATTAATATAATTTTGATGAGTGAGCATGTAACCTTTTTTTGTTAAACACCTTATAACTCTTTAGATCTAATTAAGAGTTATCAGGAATTGTCTTTCATTTTTTATATGAATACTGCAACGGAAGCATATAGACTTGAAGCATGAATTTTTATTTTTATTTTACTTTATTATTCAAGGGATCTCTATTGAAAATGAGCTTGTCTCCACTAGTGATTTCAATATCCATAAATCTTTATGCTAGGGAACTTGCAATACCTTTCAACATAGTTCTTTTGTGAATTCTCAATGTTACTTGAGATTGATCTTACAATATCATTTCACAATATAAAAGAGATATGTTCATGCAACTTTTCATCCTCTAACAAAGCCTTTATTATGTCGCAGACATATTATACTAGAAAAATAAATGTACTCCCACTAAACCTGTAATTCATAATTATTATTCTTATTACCTTCTGATATTACATGTGATAATATCAACATATGATGAATATTATGAAATCACAAATAAAAAATTCTTCATTGAGATTACAGATGAATATAAGCTTTTTGAAACTTTGTGTTACTAGATAAAAAGTCTCCAAAATATACAAGCTTATTGATTTCATAAATTATACAATTTAAGAAACCAATCTTTATATTCATCTGACACAACTCAAAAAAGTTATAAGAATTGTCATTTATTTGAATGAACTTTTCGAGAAGTCATAGAAAAGATCTCTAAAAATTAATGTCAGCCTTAAGAATTGAAACTATAACAACTAGATGAGCTTTATATTTGTTAACATTGCATTTTAAAAGCAATATTGTCGCAACGTCATCGCGACGCGGAACGGCCGACGTCATCCCCTGAAGGGTCTCTTTCGAGATAAGGGTTTGGAGTCGCCACCAATCATCTATGAGGTGTGATTGGTCACCTAAAAATAAAGACAAGGTCTGCGAAAATAGATTGTTGGTTCGGGAGTCGACTGAACGTAGGGAAGGTGTTAGCACCCTACGATACCCGTTCGAAAACGGTACCACATTTTGTCAAAAATTATCCTATTATTTTATTTGGTCCAAAAGAAATGTTTTTATTTTATTTTAAATGTCTCATATTATATTAATCCACATTTTGTTATAAGATATGAATTAATAGGTATGAGTGGCACGAAGGTCATTAGAAAAATTTAAATAATTATTTAGTAAAAACAATGATAAAATAAGGCATTCAAAGACTCGAACTTGGGTCATGTACATTAAAAATAAAACATCGTACCACTATGCCAACATCTTAAAATATAACTTACTTTTAATTCTTATCATACAAATCTTTATTTACAAAAAATTGTTTAAAAAAAATAAAAAAAATAAAATAAAAACTAAGACCGAAAAAAATAATAATAATAAAATAAAAAAATTATTTTATTTTAGATTTGAAATTCCTCTAACAAACTTCCTTAAAACTAAAAAAATACATTTAAAACAAACTTGTTTTTCTTTTTAAAAAAATCATATTTAAAACAAACTTATTTTAAAAGTAATCAAATCATATTTAAACAAATTTATTTTAAAATATATCAAATTTAAAACAAGCTTATTTAAAACAAATAAAAAAAATCAAATCATTTCTAAAAAAACTTTTTTCTATGTCACGTACTGGAGTGAGGAAGTTCTGGGTGTGCCCGCGAGTCTGAAACCGTGAAGGAGCACTCGAGGTTGGGGATTATAGAGCTTTGCGCCGGACTATTGTGGGTGCAATTTGTCTGAACTTGTGATCACCGGGGGACGTGTGCAGTCTGTGTACCGTCGGGGTCGCCGGCCTGGGTGAAGAAGAAGAGAAAGTGATGGTAGAGAGAAAGAAGGAAGTGAATTTTTCTCCGTCTTCTCTGTATGGTGTTCTAAAGTGGTGATGGTGGGATAAGAGAGATGGAGAGAAGAAGATACGGTGATGAGGTGATGGGTTTCTAACTCTCTGCACTATGTCCTCTGTTTTTTCTCCCCCCTCTGTGTGTTGTGTGCCCCTTTAAATGTACCAAAAAAATAACAGTAACATGCGTGAGTCGAGTAAAACCAGGAAAAACGGGAGGAGAAACCAAATGTTTATCTTTAACCAAAACTGAATCTAAATTTTTTTAATTAAAAAAACCTTTATTTAAAACCAAATTATATAAATAAAATCAAATCTTTTTATTTATTTTATTTTAATTTTAAAACAAAATCTATTTTTTTTAATTTAATTTAAACTTTAGCTTATAACCAATAATAAAGTAGTCCTATAGTATTTAATAACATAAAAATTAAATAATTAAAAATAAAACTAAAATGAAGCTGGACCAAATATGGTGTCTACAACTTGCTCTCTTTGTGTATCCTTGCAGAACTAAAAGGGTAGACAAAGGCAAAAGACAAAGTATTTGGGAAGGCGAAAATTTTATTCAGACAAGACAAGATAGAGATGGACCTAGCTGGACACTAGGCGGGATCCCGACATGCAAAGAACCCCGTACTTGATACAGGCCTTAACCTCGATCTTGGATCGGGTTTGATTTAATTGACATGATAAGTGCGATGGACCTGGCTTGACACAGGCTTCGACCTCAATCTTGGATTGGGTTCGATTTAACGAGATGATAAAATGCAACGGACCTGACTTTAACAACAGGCTTCGACCTCAACTTGGATCGGGTTCGATTTAACCAAAAGATAAAATGCAACGGAC